GCAACTGTCATTCTCCTCCAGAGACAGATTGCTGGGTACGACTGCAGGACTCTGCATACCAGTTCAGCACAGCGGTGACGACAATCACCACATCGGGATCGCATCAGCTTCTCTGCATCAGGACTGTCACTAGCCAATTCTCCCTGCTTGCCACACTGACAGACTATCAGATGGTATCAGATGCCCAAAATGTTTCTGACAACATTTTAGAGTAGTGGTCTCCAAACTGTGGCCTGAGGGCTGGATGTGGCCCTTTGCATACCTTTTACCTGACTCTTGGAGCACTATTTCAAGAACTGACACTAATGATGGGGCACCATTTCCTCTACTGACACTACCAATCGGGCACTATTCTTGCATTGATACCAACAATGATACACTATTTCTCCCATTAAAACCAATGATGTGGCACTGATTTTACTCCCACTGGCCACATTCTGCCCCCCCCCCTAAAGTATGAAGGACAGTAAAGTGGATTTTTGCTTACACAGTTTGGAGACCCCTGCTCTAGAGACACTGCATGCAGACAACTTACATCTCATTACCAAGAGATCTTTGATTTTAGCATTTACCACAGCCTGTTATCTTCATTGAATTACAATTACTCACTAATATATATGGGCTCCACCATTGCTAGCAGAAGACAACAGCTACTATCACATCAAGAACTTTAAACATCTCGGGACCTCTTTGTATCTAAGGTATTAGTATTCAAATTAAGGTGTCTATACCCATTTAAGCCAGAATATACTTGTCATAGCCTGGGCTTATCAGTGGTGAGAGGCAGTGTTTCTTCTTGCTGAGCCACCTGGAATGCTGGACAGCTCCCTTGACAATTATTTGGATGATCCTACCTTGACCTTGTTTATCTTGAACCTTGAACCCCTTGCCCCACCCATGAACTTCCTGATAAAAGCCATGTATCTGCATTTCCTGTTTGCCAGATTATTGTGCCTTCTCCAGCCAATATCTCGCTTGTTTGTCCTGCTGCCATCTATACCTTCGCTATCGACCTTTGGCTTGTTCCTGGACTACGATTCTGCCTCATCGTCATCTACTACCGTTTTTGACCAATCCTTGGCTTGTTGACTGATTCCGTGTCAGGAATGCTCTCAGCACTGGTGGTGGGACTCGCCTGCCGTGTGGGGCTGCAGTACCAGAGCTGACCAGCGGGTGCTCTCAGCACTGGTGGTGGAACTCACCTGCTGTGTGGGCTGCAGTACCAGAGCTGACCAGCGGGTGCTCTTAGCAGCCAGAAGCTCACAATCAGCCAAACCTGGGGCTGATTACAGAAAGGTGTATATAAGGCATGACCAGGCCTGTGCTCTGGGCCTTGGTGTATGTTTTCCCATGAGCCTCTGTACCTGTATCCTGTGTTCCTGCTTCGTTGCTGACCCGGCTTGATCCTGATCTCTGTTGACCGTCTCCTGTTCTGACTACTGGCTCATCCCTGACTATTCTTCTGCCTACTCCTATGCTGTTTGACCTCCTGTTGCTGTACCTTGGCTTGTGACCCGTTTACTCTTTGCCTGCTGCTCTGTACTGATCTGCCTCCACCGTTACCGACCCGGGCTTGTCTGACCACGCTAACTACTCTGCCATCCATCCATCCTGCACGGATCCAGCCGTACCTGCACATACCTCTGGCGGATCCCCCTACCACTAGCAGGTGTACTCAGGGGCCGCGACCTGGTCTCAGTCCTGCGCCAAGTCCATCCCCACCATCAGGGGCTCTGGTGAAAAGGCAGACTGGGGCTTAGACTCCCCGCGCCCTGGGGAATCCTGCCCTGGGGACCGCTAGCGGTACCACCAGGCAGTCGTTGCAGAACCCTACGGCCGGCCTGACCATTCCACCTCTCCAGCCCTGACTACGCCTGTGTTCCTGCACCTCCTAAGATTAGTGGAAGGTTAGTTTGTTCACTGTGCGTTTATATATATATATATCTGGGTGGCTAATAATAACCTGTATTGTATTGTACCTGAGACCTGCGTTTCCCTGTGTCAGTCCACACCTTTCTGGTCATTCCTTGATTCCTGACATTCCGCTTCTGTTTGATCCCTAACCTGTTCGATCTGCAATTGGATTCCGGCTTGCTCATTCCCTGGTGGGGTGATCCTGAGATCTGCAACCTGGTACTATCATGCAGCCAAATCCATCTCCACCATTAGGAGCTCTGGTGAAAACCAGGTAGTGCTTAGACCCCGCACCTCAGGTGAGCCTGTGTCATTTCCCAGGGTAACCTGCTGGTGTACCTATCCTGCTTATTTCAGGTAAGCCTTACACTGCTATAGCAAAGGGTCTCTAAACCTGACCCAGACCGTGACAGAATAATCTGGCACAAACATGGAGGCTGCTATTGCAAACGTTGTGGCTCCTCTTAGGCAGCAAATTGCTGAGCTGCAGGAATTCGAGGCTACCCATCAAGAAAGAGTTGCCAAACTAGAAAGCATAGTGGATAGACAACAGGGAGAGATTCAGATTCTGCAGAGACAACTGCTAAACCAGGATGATACCAACTCACATATGCCCCAGCCCCAACCATCTAAGTTTAATGGTGACGCTGCCACTACAAGGGTTTCCTTAATCAATGTAGTATATATTTCCAAATGTACCCTGCTGCATTTCCTTCAGAGAAAAAGAAGGTAATGTTTATTATTGGGCTTCTGACTGGGGAAGCTCTAGCTTGGGCCTCCCCTTATATAGAACAAGACAATGGCACTCTGAATTAATCTTGATACCTTTTTGACCACGATGAATCAGGTTTTTGATTATCCCAACCGTTGTGCTACTGCTGACGCAACGTTGCATAGTCTGCGACAGGGTAGACGCTCGGTCGCTGAATACACAGCGGAATTCAGATGTTGGATCGCAGATACCACTTGGAACCCTGCAGCACAAAAAAGCCAGTTTCGCCAAGGGCTTTCTGAACAGGTAAAGAATGAGCTTGCCAGAGTAGATACCCCTAATGATCTTGAGGAATTCATCCAATTGTGTATCCGAATCGATCAAAGACTTACAGAAAGGAGGAAGGAGAGGCTGGGAATGTTTGGAAGTAATAGGGGCATGCATCTCTCTGCTAGTCCATTTGTTCAGCAGGATTCAAAAGTCTCTCTGGGTTCTAACACTCCTGAGCCTATGCAGCTGATGCTATCAAGAGGTCCATTTCTATTCAGGAGAGAGAGAGAGAGACGTTAAGAGAACTTATGTCTATATTGTGGGGACTCTGGTCATTATGCAATTAATTGTCCTAACAAAGTTAGAACAATTGCTGTGACTGACGTGATTGTGCCTGAACAAATAAACTCTATAAGCCAGTCTGTCTCCCCACTGATTCCTGAAGAGAATAAAGTGAACTCCCTGCTTTCTCATTTTGTTATCCCCATTAAACTTGTATCTGAGGGCCGTGAAATTCCCTGTTCAGCTATGCTGGACTCCGGGGCTGGGGGGAACTTTATGGATATAGAGTTTGCCCACAAACCATAATATTCAAGCCAGAAATACATTTACCCCCTATTGATATGGAGACAGTTGATGGGGCACCCTTATCTTCAGGACCTGTTACCCATAAAACGGTTCCCCTGGTACTGTTGTTTGAGCATGACCATTGTGAGACCATCAGCTTTCAGCTGATTACATCACCCAAGTTTCCCATCATCCTGGGTATTCCTTGGTTCTCCACTCACAATCCTTCCATCAACTGGGGAGCACGGACTATAGATTTTCCGTCCCCCCACTGTGAAAAATATTGTAAGAAACTTTGCCGACCAAGTTCGTCACCGGCCAAGGAATCGCAAAGTGATATAGTGGCTTTCCAGTCATATGACAATTTGCCCCCACAATACCATGAGTTCCGGGATTTCTGTGACAAGAAAAATGCAGATCAATTACCCCCCCCCCCCCCCCTTGCCCCATTGAGCTGCTCCCAGGGGCAGAAATACCTTTTGGCCGCCTTTTCAACCTGTTGGAACCTGAATTAAAAGTACTCAGGGTGTGGATCGATGAGAATTTAGACACTCAACTTCTCCTGCAGGAGCAGCCCTGTTCTTCGTTGAAAAGAGAGACTCCACCTTGCGTCCATGCATTGACTACAGAGACATGAATAAAATCACTATTAAAAACCACTTTCCATTACCCTTGATCTCTGAAATGTTGGAAAGACTTCGTTCTGCCAAGATCTTTACAAAACTTGATTTACGAGGGGCATATAACCTTGTCCACATTCGTCAAGGAGACGAATGGAAAACCGCCTTTAGAACCAGGTATGGGCATTTCGAACCCTTGGTGATGCCGTTTGGACTTTGCAATGCCCCTGCAACATTTCAGCACTTCATCAACGATGTTTCTCGTGATCTGTTGGACCAATTTGTAATTGCTTATCTGGATGATATCCTTATCTTTTCTGATAATTGGGAGGAGCACCGCAAACATGTTTGCACTGTCTGTCAGGAATGCACTCACCATTAGTGGTGGGACTCATCTGCCGTGTGGGCTGCAGTACCAGGGCTGGCCAGCTGGTGCTCTCAGCAACCAGAAGCTCACTCCGGCCCTGACACTGTCTTTGAAAGATTAACCACTAGCCTACAGGACACTTATATCCCCTTCCTGCCCAGGCCAATTTCCAGCTTTCAGCGAGGTTGCACTTTGAATGACAATTGCACGGTCATGCAACACTGTACCCATATGAAATTTTTATCTTTTTTTTTTTTTTTTGTGACCGAGCTTTATTTTGGTGGTATTTAATCGCCTCTGGGTTTTTTTATTTTTTCTTAAACCAAAAACCACTGAAAATTTTGAAAAAAAAAGTTTCTTAGTTTTTGTTATAAAATTGTGTAAATAAGTGATTTTTCTCCTTCACTGATGTGCACTAATGAGGCTGCACTGAAAGGTGGCACTGATGAGGCACTGGTAGGTGGCACTGATGGGCATTGATAGGCATCACTGATGGGCACTGAAATGCAGCACTCGTGTATGGCACTGTTAGGTGGCACTGATAGGTGGCACTGATGCACACTGATAGGCAGCATTGATAGGTGGCACTGACTGGCATTGATAGGTGGCACTTACTGGCACTGATGGGTGACACTGAAAGGCAGCTCAGATGGGAACTGATATGTGGCATTGATGTGCACTGGTTGGCACTGAAATGTGGCATTGATGTGGTATGGATGAGCACTGACAGCTAGCACTGATGGACACTGACAGGTGGCACTTCTAGGGCTACACAGATCATCAGGGCACACTGATCATCAGTGCCCTGATGATCAGTGTACATGTCCCCTCTGAGGGATGCCGATTACCGGCTCTCCTCTCCTCTCGAGCTGTCAGCATGACAGCTCGTGAGCAGAGAAATGCCGATAACCGTCATTTCCCTATTTACATGTGATCAGATGTGATTGGACACAGCTGATCACATGACCGAGTCGACATCTTCGGCTCTTTCCATTGATCGGTGATCCGCAGTGTCCGAGGGACACAGTGCACCACTGATCACAGCGCTCCCAGAGCCGCGCATGCACGGTTAGAATGGGAGGACGTCATATGACGTCCTCCCAGAACGAGAGGACCGCCTTGCGCCCGTCTTTGTACTATATGGCAGGCGGGAGGTGGTTAAGGAAGAATAGACTTTACATTCAATTGGAGAAATGTGAGTTTGAAGAAACCCAGATCCAGTTCTTAGGCTATATCATTTCTCCAGAGGGAGTGAGCATGAAGATCGAAGCAGTGGTAGATTGATCAGCCCCTGGAAATGTTAAGGAAATTCAATGTTGTTGGGTTTGCCAACTTCTACAGAAAATTTATAAGAAACTTTTCTAAAGTGATAGCTCCAATCACACAGCTGACAAAGAAAGGGGTACCCTTCGTGTGGACCCCTGAGGCACAGGCTGCGTTTGAAAAGCTGAAAACTCTTTTCACTTCTGCACCAATTTTGGTACATCCCGATCCTGAACTACCCATTATAGTGGAAGTGGATGCTTCCAATTCTGCCGTGGGAGCTATCCTGTCTCAGGAAAGTGATGAAAAAATGCAGCTTCATCCTTGTACCTACTTTTCTTGTTTGATGTCCTCAGCCGAAAGGAATTACGACACTGGAAATAAAGAGCTACTGGCAATTAAGGAAGCCTTTTCTGAATGGAGGCATCTGCTAGAAGGGGCTAATCATCCTGTAACTGTTCTCATTGATTATAAAAATCTGGAATTCAATCGCTCGGCTAAGAGATTGTCTTCTAGACAAGCACGTTGGTCTTTATTCTTTTCCGGATTCAATTTTATTATATCATATCGACCTGGATCAAGGAATGGTAAAGCCGATGCCTTATCAAGGATGTTGTCTGAGCCTCCCCAGGAGGGCAACTCCGAATGTTCAATCCTAACTCAAAAGAACTTCCTAGGGGCCACAAGTGCAAAGACATTCTTGAGTCTTCTCAAAGAGGGGTATGAAAATGATCCCCTTCTCAGTGATCCTCCTAGGGACATTAACCTTGAGTACAAAAACGACTTTTGGACTCTCGCACATCGTCTCTATGTACTGGAGTCTGCTCGGGTGGAAGTCCTCAAATTAGTTCATGACTCCAAACTGGCGGGACTTTTTGTGATTTCAAAAACAGATGACCTTCTGTCATGTTCCTTCTGGTGGCCTAGTTATAAGAAGGATATCAAATGCTACGTGGCCTCTTGTCTGACGTGCGTAAAGTCATAAGACACCCCGATCTTCTCCTTTGGGGTTGCTCCAGCCACTTCCTGTTCCATCAAGACCTTTGGGGTCAATTTCTATGGACTTTGTAGTCGAATTACCTCCCTCAAAAGAAATTACTACTATCTTGGTAGTCGTCGACAGCCTTACTAAAATGGCTCATTTCATACCTGTTAAGTGGGTACATTCTGCTGAACAAACTGCGGAGTTAATGGTTCGAGATGTTTTTAAATTACATGGAATTCCTGATGATGTGGTATCTGACAGAGGAGTACAGTTTACATCAAAATGTTGGAAAAGCTTTTGTTCAGCTTTAGGGGTAACAGTTAACCTGTCCTCTGCTTTTCATCCAGTCTAATGGTCAGACCGAGAGGACCAATCAAATTTTGGAACAGTACCTTCGGTGTTTTGTCAGTTATCTTCAGGATGACTGGGTGGACTATCTACCTACGGCAGAGTTTGCCTATAACAATGCGAAACATAGCTCCACCTCCCAAAGACCCTTTTTTCCTCAATACGGAGTATCATCCAGTTTGTATTCCTTATCTCCCTATTGCTACTCAAATTCCTGCTGTTGCCAACAGATTAACTACATTGCAGGAGATTCAGGCGAAGTTGATCGAGATCTTGGGGGAGACTCAGGAATGTTATAAAAGGGCTGCCGACAGTCATCGCAGATCACTTCCTACCTTTTCATGTGGGCGACAAGGTTTGGCTATCTACCTAAAATCTGAAGGTTCATGTTCCATCTGCAAAGTTGGGCCAAAAGTTTGTGGGACCTTTCCAGATTTCTGCTCAGATCAACCCAGTCACCTTTCGCTTAAAACGTCCTGACAGTATGAAGATTCACCCTGTTTTTCATGTATCACTTTTCAAACCATTTCATGAAAATCCTTTTCTCTGGAAGAATTCTTCCACCTCCTCCACCTGTTGAGGTACAGGGTGAAGAAGAATATGTGGTGGAGGAGATTCTTGACTCTAGGAGGTTTAGAGGATGTTTAGAGGAAAATTGCAGTATCTTGTCTAATGCGAAGGATATGGGCAAGAGGAGAATTCTTGGGAGCCTGAGGAAAATGTCCATGCTCCTAGATTAACAAGAGAATTCCACCAAAGGTTTCCCATTGTTCCTGGACTATGATTCTGCCTCATCCTCATCTACTACCATTTGTGACCGACCCTTGGCTTGTTGACTGACTCTGCTTCTGCTTGATCCCTACCTGTTCGATCTGCTATTGGATTCTGGCTTGCTCATTCCCTGGTGGGGTGATCCTGAGATCTACGACCTGGTACTATCCTGCAGCCAAATCCATCTCCACCATTAGGAGCTCTGGTGAAAACCAGTTAGTGCTTAGACCTCACACCTCAGGTGAGCCTGCGTCATTTCCCAGGGTGACCTGCTGGTGTACCTATCCTGCTGGTTTCAGGTAAGCCCTACACTGCTATAGCAACTGGTCTATGAACCTGACCCAAACTGTGACAATACTGTGTGTGTAGATAGATGGATGGATGGATGGATGGGATGGATAGATAGATAGATACATAAATCTTTGCATTCCCTATTGTGATGTAGTGGCCAAGAGGGCACTGATAGGTCAGCAAGTCTTTTCTTCTATTTCCTGCTGTGGGTGTTGCGGGTATATAGTTACAACATACTATTTGTGACCTTATAATCTGTTAGTTGTTGCTATTTGGTTATTTCCATTTTATCAGTGTTTTGCTTTTACTCTTTAACTGGGGATGTACTTCTGAAACCTGTATTCTGCGGTTTACTCTTTTTAACATGTCTAATATAGAGGTGTTACTAAAGAATCTTATATCTTGCATTATTTCATACTGTTGAAATATGTCTAAACCCAGAGTGTCAGAGGTGTCTGGAGGCTTTCACGGTCAGGGCAGCCACTGTGGACAAGCATTATCAAGCGGCACTTGCGGGGGTAGCGCTACAATTGCATGCACCCAAGGAATAGCAACAAACCTTGATAAACATAATTTACAGTAGACAACACTTTAAAAGCTTTTACAGGTCATCTGTTTGGAGTTAACCATAAATGATGGACCTAGAATTCTTTTTTCTCACTCCCATGTGCACAGAGATATGTAACATGTGTAGCTCGATAGACATTTTTGTACAAAAGCAACCCTAACACATGTATATATTCATGTGTACATGAGGGTAGGGAGGCTTTACATTTTTAGGACATTTTTAAGTACTAGGGTGTAACTTTAATTTAAAAAATTTTTTCCACTGAACTATTCCCCTATGTGATAGCATTTTGCTTTGAATGGTTCCCTTTACTGAGACATCAGGGGTGTACCCCACTGACTTCTTTCCCTGGCCACAATGGCCAGGGTAAGTGATTGATGAAATCAAAAGTGATGTAATACACATTGCTTTTTGGTTTTCACTAGCTAAGGGAGATTAGAGAATGGATGCTCATTAGTCTCTCATCCCTCTACTTGGCTTAAAGTGTCAAGCCAATGCGACACATTAAATTTAATGTGGGGTCCAAAATAAAAAAAAAAAAAAACCCTAAGAAAATATACCTTTCTAAAAAAGATAAATGCTGATTTGGGTAAGAGCAGGCAGCCTACGGCTGTCGGTTTTCCCCCAGCAGCTATGCCTCCAGTGCCCTATCTATAATGAAATAAATAGAAAAATAAAACCATAAATTGCTGGGTACCTGGGAGGAGAGAGATTATGTTAGCAAATCAGAGGAATCTCAGATGATGTTTCTGCCACTCTGGGTCAACCCACACCAGGAAATTTCCATTAGATTGTATACAGGAGGTGGTGCAGCTGAATATCATTGACTTAATACAGTCACATGTTGTGAAGGAAACATTTGTATTGTTTCAGTGTCTGATTATTCCAGCACGTGGTTGTTCCAGTGTCTGATTGTTCCAGGATCTGATTGCTCCAGAGGATGTATCAGTAATCAAACAATATTCCTGTGTAGCTTTGGAAGAATCTAAAAAAATAAAATATTTATATTTTTCATATTAAAATAAAAGTAATATGCATACCAAATATTCTAAAATTTATTTTATACTTCATTAGCTAAACTCCATCCACATTAACATTTTGAGTGAGTGTCATAAAATGTAAACCTAATTAGATAAATACCTATTTCATGCAGCTTCTGAAACCAAAAATAAAGTACTTATTCATCACCACTAAAACAGAGGACTATTGTACATACTCCATGGACTGTGGCAGCATTTTTACACATTCCATTTTACAGCCAGAAAATCCACATTTAAGTGTACACATTTCACATAAAAATGAAAAAATATTTCAATAACTCCATAGACAATAATTCAGCACTTTTTGGCTATATTTTAAACAGAAGGGGCCACAGTCCGCTTTTAATCAGAAATCAACTTTAGAATTGGATGTTCTCCTTATTCTTGCATTCCTTAAGAAGAAAGACAGATATCATTGCTTTATTTAAACCTGCTTGACTGATGTAACCCAACCCTCTCTCAGGAGACCATGGATTAGGTTTTATTTTGGCTTCCACGTTAATGGCTTTCTACGCCCCCTCCCCCTCCACAATATGTCAGTTGGGCAGGAAGGGATGGCCTTCATGTTCTCTTACCCTGGAATAAAAGTGATTTGCCTTGGAAATTTTATTATGGTATTAATCCTTGGTTTAGAAAAGGCCCATTCTCACACTGTAAGACCTTCGCTTCATGGCTTGACTCATTTCGGAAGCTGTGTCTATGGTAGATGGTTAGCGACATAAATATGCTACTCATCAGATCTTTTCCTACTTTTCAACATGAACTACTTTCTGTATTGACCTAATTCTAC